TGCAGTTCATAACTATTATTACTACGGTAATTTGCAAATTCTTCCGGGGCGTGGGTGGGCGGAGGTGGTGTGGTAGCAAGTGGCGTACTGTATCACACGCACGGTCAGGGGTTCAAATCTCTGATCGATGCTCGCCTAGGCCAACCAAGCCTTCCATCCCTCCGGGGTCGGTGAATTGGTACCAGGCTCGTCTGGTAGGATAAAAGCACTGACTTGTACATCGGCTGGCCACCGCAAGTCATTGTACAGGCCACATACGCACTCATTACGCCACTACGATTCTGAATGAAAGTCGAGTGCGGGGCGCTTCCCTCAGACGGGATTGATTAGCCGAAAACTTTATCCTTTATCCTTTAATTTGCAAAAAACCCAATTAGGTGTATAGTGAAAAAATCACAAGATTTCGGCAATCACTATTTAAGAGGAACATTCAAGGCGATTCATGGTGTTCCACGTCAGTTATTGTCAGTTAAGCCTAGGGAGAGGATTATCCCGGATAGCAGTACTTCTCCCCAAATTCCACGACAGGCAGCAGTGGTAGTTCTGCGGCGAGTACCTTATCCTTCCACCGATTATTTGAACTTTTCCAACCTTTCCCTTTAAAACATTCGTCTGCGACGAACATCGTGAGGGCGACGCGATTTTCGAGGAGAAGTTACCACACCCGAACATCCCACCCCAATGCATTCAAAGACTACAAAGGAAGACTCCTTGATGGAATCCTTTTGATGAGCTGGTAGGTAGGTAAGATCTTTTCAAGCTTTAAATGAAAGTTTCAATATCAGCAACATCACCTTGCTCTTATAAGTTCGAATCAGGCAAGTAACAATTCAGAAGGGGCAACTCTATATTTCGTCGGAAGTTCCGGTGACAAGGGAAAGGGAAGTGGCTTCGCAAGTGAATGGAATCCGACCGAGTAGTGCAGCTGAGGCCAGGAAAGGAGGACGTACAAAGTTTCCCTCTTAGGTGGTTTGAAAAGTCTACATCGATCGACTCACTCGGGATATGCATATTCAACACCCATATAATAAACTATATTACATATGCGACCCACATACATAATTCAGAATGGGAGTTGGCCGATGTCCAACTCATCACTTTTCACAAAAGCTTACTACCACATGCCCTAGGGGATTAGGATGTTAGCTGTGGTTGGCACGGGATTCGATCTCAGCAACCGTACAATGACGAGCCACTTTGGCCCTTGAGCAGTCGCCCACGCTCAGACTTCTTAACTTTGAAATATTCCAAAATAAAAAGAAAAAAACGAAATAATACACGAAGCGAAAAGAAAGAAGAAAACGTCCATGCACTATGGCAGGGGGCTCCCAAATGGGATAGAGAAAACAAGTTCAAAAATCTCAGTAAAAACCGATCTTTCTGAGATTCGTTACCGTAGGAAGGAAGGTCGAGGGGAAAAGCAAAAGTTAAAAATCAACAATTCAAAGGGCAGTACGTACGGCATCGAAAAGCAACCCACGCAAAAGGAATTCAGTAGATGAAATGCTGATAAGACGGTAACAAAAGATTCAGCCGCTTAACCGAAAAACACTCACTAGAATTGATAAGGTACTGATTAGTGAAGCCCGGATGGTCGACGTCATGGATGGCACCAGCGAAAATAGCCGCCATTACCTCGAGATCAGAGAAAACTTCCTGAAATTTTCGGGGAATTTCGTGGTCCCCAGAGGGAATGATGGCTTCAGAAATGGTTTTCACTTACGGTGAGCACTGGAGAAGTGAGCAATACATGCATTGACTGAGCAACGTCGGCGGCATGAATATGATTGTGGTAAGGGTTTGATCGATAGTGATGTTCGAGGTTCAGAAGGTACGTGACGAACACCGATGATGGGATTTCAAACGCCTGAATGAAATCAGAACTTGGGAGCGACGACAAGTTGCTTAAGGAAGGGAACGTACCTTGATAAGACCTCGTTCTCGGAACAGGGCGTAGGTGATGGTAGTCAAGGCATGATTCTTGGAGAGTTCGTCAATCTTGAACACATCTGGACCCCAGTCGTTAAGCTGAAAGTGCAGGAATGTACCGAAATAACTTTACTTCGAGTTGGCGTTCCCAACGGTTTCCCCACTCGGTCCCCTCGCCTCATTTTGAGAAGTTCTTCTAAGAAAAGGTTGTTTTCCGCACAGCTGGCGTAATTCGCCGAACACAAATCAATAGGCGAGCTGCTGCTTTCTTGCCTGCTCTGGCTGACTGACTGACTGCTGCTGCTGCTGCTAGCTCGACGACGGCTAACCGACTGACAGCTGAATTAGTATGCAGCACTTAAAACCAGCGAGCCAGCCGCCTGATGTATGGACAAATGCGCGCCGAACAGCTGCGACGAAACATTCCTGCCCTTAACACCCCCCATAGGCACCCTCTACGATAGAGTCAATAGTTGTCTATACCTGCTGCATGTAGACGGCAACCTCCTTGGCACAAGGCACTCCGTATTCGGGTAGATGGCCTTCATGGGAAGGCGCTCTCAACTTGCGAACACCAGAAATTCGATTCATAGCTGCCGTTTGCGCCTTTTTCAGAAGACCCATCGAAAGCTGTGGGGACGATGTTGATGGTCCCTGAAAATGGACAAAGAAATAGATCTGCATAAGCTCTGAAATATGAATCCGCAATTTCCCATTGGGATCTGAAACCCTATATTGTTTTTCATAGACGCTTCTCCCCTATTGGGTATTTTTCTTCCTCAGAATGGCGTCATCCCCAGTTTCGGGTGGGCTGGGCTCGTCACAAAACAGAAACCGAAACAGAAATTTTGCAAGTTCACTTCGGGATTCTTCCCAGACCAACCACAACTTCAGTAATAGGAATCCAGGTTTATCTACAGCCCCAAATGAACATCAGAAGTGTAATAAAGCAAACTCTCAGAAAAGCGGTCGAGGTTCCCCAGAGGAGGTAAAGACGTGAGGAAATCAAATTTCAGTGGGGGGAAATCTGATATTTTCATATGGGTATGAGCTTCTGGAAAAAAGGAAATCGTTCCAGCGTCGAAGAGCAACGTCAACGCGACGATGGCGGCAACACGACTGATAACGAACGTCGTCCACACCACTATACGTAATCGGTTAGGACACGGCTTTGGGGGAGATTACTGGTTGGGCAGGGGGGATTCCCACAACAAATTACCCGATTTCGTTATGGCCATGGCAGTGGCTAGAGAACTGGTACCCTCACTATGTGGTTATGCCTTGGGATACGTAAAAATGGTATTCTTCCTCGGTGACCCAGTCCTATTACTCAGAATCCATTACCCACCACCACATTACTCATGGGAGTAACCCATAACCCACAAAACTAACACAGCGCCACTGTGGGAAGTTGCAGGTCCATTCCATTGGTGAAAGAGCCGAGTAAATAAGGTATTTAGAGCCCATAACTCATGAAATACTCAGTTAATACTTCTACTAGCCACTGAGGAAATACTTCCCAACTCATGCCCTATTATCCCTCCCTTTGGGATCGCTTTTCGCTTGATATCCCCGACAAAATCTCCAAATTCAAATTCCTCGTCAAAAAAAAAACCATTTTTTCAGGGACATCTGACGGCAAGAGAACGGAAAACAGGAAAAAATGAACGTGGGGCTATTTGCGCAAGTAAATTGTTGAAATTAAAGTGCAAAATTCCATCAAAATAGAAAAAAAAAGATCATAAATTTAAATATTCAACAAAACTGGCGGAACATACCTCTCCGGGCACTTCAATTTCGATCGTAGGATCATCGTCATCTTTATCCATATAAGTAGTAATTAAGAATTTAGAGACCTGAGTACCAGATTTTGAAGACTCAGCGAAATGGCTGAGCTCCTTATTGAGCATCTTCCGGAACTGAAAAATAAGCGAATTTGAATAAAAATAGAAAAAAATCGGCAAACAAAAAAGTTCATTTCGACAATTTGACGGGTATTTATACTGATTCCATTTTAGTGTACAGTTGTAAATCAAATTGACTCAGAATTTGTACTATGAGGTTCCCAAGCCACACCCTATTTTGAGTGGGAGGGCGGTATTGAGACAGGACCGAAATGGGACCGAATGGAGAGGGAGGTGAAGGCGACGACGACGACGGCGGTGGCGACGGAAACGACGACGGCCATCGGCGAAAAGATTTTGAGTATAGGGAGTACAGGCTTGTTGCTGGCGCTCCGTGGACGCGATCAATGTGTCGCCTTTGCGAATCATCGCTACCATCCATCATTCGCCGGAAGTTGCAATTATGTGCGCGACCGACACCGACACACAACACTCTTAAAGGTGATATACTGTAACTGATAGCCGGTCGTAAAAGGTTGAACTGTCGTTGTGTGCAAGGAAAGGGCACCCCCCTGCCACCTGCCACCAGTAGGCAATGATTTAACGTGACCGGAAATCACAGCCTGCAGCAGCACAAACAATACCATGGGTGGTAGGGGCGGGCACAGGGGGAGTATGTTCCAATATACTGCGATGACAATGACGACCACGACCACGACGACGACCACGACCACGACCACGACGACGACGAAGCAAAGACGCCGGGATCAGAGACGTTTCCGGGTCGTTCGTCAAGGTTTTCATAGATCAATGTCACACACACAGTCGCCACCATCACCATCACCACCACCACCACCGCAGCAGCAACAGCGTAGCGCAGCAAACACACAGACCGACCGATGGATACCGACCGACCGACCGACCGATGATTTTTTAGTTCAACGCTCCTTATCACTGCTGTTGCTGGCTGATAGCGGCGGCGATGCCGCTATATGGCCCAGCCTCAATACATTGCGATTGTTTGTTGACATCTCTGTTGCACCCACCCGACACGACACCATCTGACTGTCTCCGTGAGATTAACTCTGGGTGGGGGTATTCCCCCGTCGTCGCTATCTTTGAAGGTCATTGTTGATGCTCGGAGAGAACGACGACATCGTTGCACTTTTAGCTCTACTTTGCATATCGATTCATTTTGCAGTTTCCCAGACGAGATAGCCGGAATCTTCCATCACCACCCACTAAATCCTCCTTCCCATTAGTCCCTGGAAATGACTTTCATGAAGAATCCGTATTGTTCGGAAACTGGGTAGCCCAGTGGTCCGAGGTGCTGCTCTACGACCTGCATAATCGAAAGCCTCGAATCCCAACCATTTGGTCGAAATTTCTCGTTCTGCCAATAGGGTAGACCTCATTCAAAAGGTGTAAACGTCATCTTAAATGGCAGCCCAGTCCAGGAGAATTTGAGAGCCAATTACGCCCTTCTACCAAGAACTTCCAGCGTCGCTGCATTAGGCACATGCACTTTTGTCAATTTTCAGCTCGGCCAAGCTACGCTCGAGATGGAATATACGTCGAAAAAGAGTTCCCTCCATCATTGGAATTCCAGTTCAACCTTCAACCAAATCCACTTTATGCATCAAATTCCTTTTTCAGGTAGTTCCCAAGGAAATACAGGATCCTCCTCCCAGGAAAAGAGTAATGAGATAGAGTAAAGTGATGGATAAAAGGGCATATAGCCTACCTTGCTGGAAGCCATTTCCGAGACAGAACGATGCGTTTGAATCGTTTCCAATTGATCCAAACACCAATCGAGTTCCTCTGAAAATTGAATTGATTGGTTTTCGTGGTTTCACGGAGACTTTCGTGTAGTTACGATGGATTACCGAGAGTTTCCTGAGCACAAGTGACGACGTTTTCCGGTAGTGGAGTGTTATGAAGCGGAGGGCGCTTCGCCGTGCGGTTGGCGTGACGGCCATCATCCGCCGACTTTAAAGCAAAAAACTTTTTAAAGAAATAGAAAATAAATGGGGTCAATCAAAAGCTTTATCAGGGCTCCCAAAAAATGGGAACGAGATATTTACGGTCCTTCTGAAGACCTTAATTCTCCTTTAGCCGAAACTCCCATCCCTGTGAAGAAGCCCGTGATAAATTTGTAGCTCACTGATGAGGTAATACTCGAATTCAGACGGAACTTCTTCTCTGAGAAGAAGTGGGAGCTGGGAGGATTTGCCGCTAAGCGTGGGAAAGGCAGCCGTTCCAGCGGAAAATGTTTGAGTGCAAAGAACCCAAAGAGGACTCACCTGGATATTGGCGATGGAGATGAGATTTGCTCGAACATTTCGAAGGCTGGCGAGCAATTGGGCGAATGGTGTCACGATGAGGTCGTCGCCATGTCTGAATAGACCCCATTAAGGCATCAAGCGTAATCAGGGAACAATTAGTGTCCATCAAGGGAAAAGCATATCGTACAGCTTGTACTAGGGTCATTCTACAGACTAGTACAAATATCCCCAAAAGGGAATTCAAGTGATTATGTCGCAATATTACCTAAGTCCAGCCTGTCCATATTTTCGTCGCAGCATAGGTTCCGATACGTTCAGATACGACCAAGATGATGAACCTTTTCAAGTGGATTGTCGACAAATCAAACTTTTCCGACACAAAGACGAACGAAGACGAAAATCGACGACGAATTGAGCGGTTATGTGACAGACATGAGTGGGTAAATGGGCAATACTGAGCAAAGCAGCAGCAGCAGCGACCCCCACACACACACGCTGAATGCGCTCTAGTCGGCCGCCCGCTCCTCAGTGACTGAGAGGTCCTCAGACGTACCCACCCGCCGCCTTCTTTCTTCGTTTTGATTCGCCACGACGACGACTTCAGCAGCCAGAAAAAAACATGTCCTCTGGCATGCGGCACGTGTCAGTGATACCCGAACAGGAAAAAAAAGTGGCACGTGGGAAGGTGAAATCTCTGATGTGGGGAAAATTAATGACAGTTTTTGGGAGAAAATATGTTCGAATAAAGGAATGGTCGGTGATGGAAGAAGCCAATGAGATAGAACCACACATACACACGTTTTTCGGGCAATTAGCATCGCCCTTTTAGGTGATCGTCTTCCCAGTAAACACATATGACTCAAGAACTGGTAAATATGCCTTCCCTAGAGACCATTCCACCTGTTCCGGTCATGGGTGAGCATTCCCCACTCCAGGAACCGTTGTTTCAGCACTTCAAATTCCACCCCGACAGAAAAAAAATTGAGTGGGATAGGGGGAGGGGGAGGGGGAGAGGGAGCGGACTAGTGAAGCGGAAGGCGGAAGTCCAGTCCACGCAAAATGGACAACGAGGACACGCGCTTCGAGGAAGCGTTGTAAGGACATATCGCTGTCGAGTGTTTGCCTATGCAGCGAAGAGAATCCCCCCACACGTCACACGCTCATAAACATACATACACACACACCCGGCCCGGTCGGCCACACGCACAAAGCGAAATTTGTTAGCCGGCCGCCTGACATCCTCAGCACGACCGACCGTTGACGACGACGACGACGACTACGACTACGACGACGACAACTTCAGTCTATCGTCGTCGGACGACGGCGTTTTCACCAACACCACTAGCCGGATCAATAGAGCCAACAAAGCGTTTATGGGGGGCTGAGTGTTTCGGCAATGGGACGGAAACAAATCACCGCCATTCTTGCGCCACTCGATGAGGGACTGATTTCGTCTTGGAGGGATTACGGCTGCTGCTGCTGCTGCAGTGAACGAATCCAAGCAGAACGGGACGAAAAGGAGAAAAAAAAACGCGGAGCGTCAACGAGACTGACGACGACGACGATGATTACGACGGCTGGTCGAAGAGAAACTTTTTCTTCATTCGCTTGTCTACATAGCGGTATCGACGTCCGACAACTGCTCCAACGGCGTAAACATCGAATGGCAACTCCGAAAAGCTTTATAAATCAAATTGACTAACTTCCTCGTACTACGTGATGCAATGGAACGGAGTAAGCGATCGAATGAGAAGCTTACGAGAAAGTTTCCAACTTACTTGGGCTTTTTCGCCGCCAGGAATGACATAAGGCTATCCGCACATGAGCAAACAAGCGAGGACACTAAACGGACTTTAAAATTCCCACGTCACACCCCATACACACTCACAAACGGACCCGCCGACGGAGAGGCCGAGTCTAGGGGCTAGAGAAGTAGGAAAGAGCAAAGATTCGAAGGAGGAACGAGATTGAACACCTGTCCTGCTATTGGACACGAGCATCGTATGGATAGACTGAAAAACGATCAAGCAGGTGTCAGAGCTCTTACCTGGCCAACAACGGATCATCGTCGGCGCACGAAGACGGCGACGTGCACATGGCCGATTCCGATGGATTCGTCAGTCAAGGTCATTTCTTCTGTCAGAAGCGCTCGCTTTGTAATCTTTTCCTATCAATCGCTACCATTTCCGGTAGTGATTGTGTAGCAAAGATGGTAGCGGCGCAGTGGTGGCTGTCTGTGGTGGCGGCAGCGACGCCCGGCGTCGATGATGGTCGGTCGTGAAGAAGGTAGTGGAGGGCGGTCATACCGATGCATACGCCAAGTGCTGTTTCCTTTAACGTCTGAGCGACCATGAAGAGGATTGTTCTACCAAACTTTTCTGATCCAGTTACATACATAACACCTGTATGTCTCGCTAAAAAGTCGGGTACACCCCATGGGAGCCTATCTACCTTTGAGCGAATAACTTTTTTCATCGACCGAACATCGGATTCGCCATTACTCAATTCAGAGTACAAACTGAAAGATTGAACCCAAAAAGGAACAATTGGGTGATTCTAAGTAAATGTGACAGTTTCTGCACTTTAAACATCGGAACAGTTCGAAGTGGGCGTGCTGGTTGACGATGGTGCGCCACCGGAAGCGAACCGGACACCAAGGAAGACACTGACAAGAACTGAACTACTGCCAGAGACAACGCGGACGCGATTTCAAGCGAAAGGACGAGTTCGAAATTCGAGTTCAAGGACGAGAAATCATCTGTCCAGATGGTTTCAATCAAACGCCAAATTTCTCAAGGCGTCCTGAGAGGATGGGACTTTGGCCTCCATGAATCCCTTCAGTATGTTTCTCAGAACGAAAAAGAGGATACGCACGAATTCGAGTGGGAGAAGTCAAAAACAGGATAGTCATAGAACAGTAAAAAGTAGCCGGCCCCAAACTCACACGCGGTTCCCATCCCGCATCATAGTTGCGCTTGTTCACGCATTTGACCCATACCACGACTCGCCTGGGGAGCCCGATAGGAAAGTCAGCGCCTGTGTTCCTCAACACGACTTCTTCGCCCTGCATTGGTGGGTAGCAAAAGGTGTGGAGCTTAGTTTTTTCAGGAGAATATTGACCAGGGAACTGACTACTAGCCCATGAGGAGTGGCACCTCCTAGTACATACTGCCTCGTTTCCGCTTCGCTACACTTGGAATACGTATTTACCTATACAGAAGAATTCCAAGGGTCGTCAATACCCTTTTTTCAGTATATCACCCTCCCAGATCGTTCGGAACCAACCGATCGGTTTGAATCACTGTGAAGTTTTTCACAAGGTTAGGACTCGGTCGATGAACCATATGTATCGCAGCAACACCGTATGAAATCACCCCATCACCGACTTTTAACTTGAGTCAGTTCCCGGTAGTTCTCACAGGAAGGCGGTCTGTTTCACTTATTGTCGGAAAAACTTTTTCCAACCGATTATGATGGGTAAGCGTGAACAAGGACGTTACTGGGTCTACCATCAATCATCATACGAATCAACTGCGAGCACAGTGCACCCACGACCGGCAAAGGTTCGGACACATTTTGACCAAAAAATCATTCATAAGTTACCAGTAACCAGAAGTTAGGGCGTAGTGGGAGGGCGAAACCAAAAAGGGTGAGAATGGAACTATTTCCCGTTACATGTCCTGAACGGGATCCACTGCTAATTGGGAGGTGAATAGGTCAGAAACCAATCGTGCATAATCAGCGTCTGTTCAATGAGAATATGGTGAGACGACTCCCTCTAGCTTAACCCACGCCCCTAAACGGTGCGGGGTCAAGCGGCCCCGAGATAAGTAGGTCCCTCACTTCTTCCAAAAGCAACGTCCAGGGCAAGACGTAGGTTGTGTTATAAGATAAAGTATTATTTGCCATTATTCTACGTTTTCATTGCGGTAACGTCCGCACTTGTATTTTTACTCCGTTACCATCGGAGTTATAAGAAAACCACTGAACCACCAGCACATACGGCATGGGAGTGGTCCCATTGACATTGTGGGTTCATTCGTATGCCTCGTGTCATTCATTCAGGGCAGCATCGGAATAGCACCAATAGAAATGCAAAAACTGCACAGTTTCCAGGACTGGGACCTACTTTCATGGGCAACGTCTTCATGGAGGCGAAAAATAAACTCAAGCCTTATGGAGACACAAAAGTTTTGATTGGCATCCATCTGTCTACCATCATTTTCTCCATTTTTTGCAAATCGACAGCGAAAAACCCAATGGACTGAGGAAGTCCATGGATCCGCCATAAGTCCCTACAGCGGTGGATGAGCATGGCTGGACTCTTTTCCAGGCGAACTTATCCCCTATTTCTGTACGCCAGGTTCATGGGTAATAGATGGGTCTGATAGGACAAAAAAATTTCCGGAGGTATCTAACGAGATTACCAGACAAATAAAGGATGAGAGGATAAAGCTTTTTGGCGTTAATCAATCCCGTCCGAGGATGCGCCCCGTACTCGACTTCCATTCGAAATCGTAGTGGCGTAATGAGGGCGTATGTGGCCTATACACTGACTTGCGCTGGCTAGCCGATGTGCAAGTCAGTACTTTTAACCTCCCAGACGAGTCCGGTACCAATTAACCGACCGAAGGATGGAAGGCTTGGTTGGCCTAGGCGGATATCGATCCGAGACTCGAACCCCTGACCGTGCGTGTGAGATAATGCCCCAATTGCCATTGCACCTTCTCCGCTCTACCAGACAAATACGCAAATAAATGGTCAACGATTCCCATTGGGTACAGGTTTACGGCACATCCTAAAGAGAATATTAATGGGATACGCCTCATCTTTGCATCTTATCCCTCATATCCGGATGATTATCTGCCTTTAAACGATTTTTGCGACGTCACTTCCTTTTACAAAGCGATTTCAGTTTGGAAGAGTTTGAGTGGCCATGGGAAAACCCCCCTTCGGCATATTGAGAACGGGACTTCCCTTCGACGTGCAATACCGCCTCTATCGTCTGCAGTAAAGAAACCCATTTCATCGCGAATCTCTAAATTATCTGTGGAATTCAATTCTCAAAGCTTGTGCATATTCATTCCCATGTACATATCCATGCATGTGAAAGGGGAAGTAATTCGGATTTCTTGGATTATCCCATTCAATACGAAGAATTTTAGATAAATATTCAAATAAGACTCATAGTACTTCAATAAATGACTGAACAAAAGCGCAGGTTAAAGTTTTCCGGCCCACTACATACTGGCCATTCAGGAGGTGCTCATGTACTCGTTTGGCTCCTACCGATGTGAACCGAACTGACCTGCGAAGCTAAGGTTGAGAGCTATGGCTAGACACACGCTATAGGCTCCTAAGGCCACCTCTAGGAGAGTTTCCTTGCCTACTTAACCCCTGTAGAATGAAGGGGCTTATGAACTGCATTGTATATTCATGATCGATTCCTAAATGAGTCAGCCAAGAGATCAGGATGAAAGAAGGTCCCACAGCGAACGATCAACACCGGTCATTTTGTTATCTTCTTTTTCCGTGGGTTTTCGGAAAGAAATGTTCTGACGACATCGAAAAATGCCTCGAAGGTTTCTCGCGGTGCCAGCACTAATGAGGGCCGAAGGACTTCAAAAATTTAGAAATATTGCCTCAAAAGAAGGAAATGTTCTGCTCCCTTCAAAAAGCATTTTGCGAATCCCGCCACTATTTTGTGTCATTTACCATAGATCGGACATCAAGCATAAGGGCGAGGCTCGAACGATGGGAACATGATAACCGCCGACGTCCGCAAAGTGAAAGTAGCGCCAGAGACGTCACCAGGCGTGATGTCATCACTGGGACAAACTTTGGAATGTACGCAATTTGGCTTCTTTCCGATAGTGGAGATAAGAAACTTGGGGGTACGGGCGAGTCGAATGCACCCAGAGAAGGATCTTCGGTTTACGGGGTCAACCTCTGGCCAGGGAACGAATTCCTGCAGAATCTACCTATGCTGGTCTATACTCCACCAACATTACTGCATATAGAAGTAAGTGATCCTTCTCATCCGCTGCCGTCGTCATGGATAGGTATAGGACTTGAGCGATGGGCTCGTGTTCTCGGTCCCATTTTGGGATCCGCCCATCAATTTAACTTCAGAATCGTCGTCGGGACGAGAGCCATGGGTTTTCCGATTTACATGCTAGTGAGTCAGTAACTTTATCAACTCAGACGAGCCTTGTACCAATTAATTTACTTCGAATGGATGGGCAAGTTCACTTGGCTTGAGTGATTATTGATGCTGCAGGGACCGAATGCACTGTAGTGGCTCATCAGAAGCTACCCGCTTCCACCTCCCACCTTGGGGTTCCAGTGACGTGATGCAGTACATACATCACCACCTTATCTCTTAACTTTGCTTGCTTGGTAAGGCAAATGAAACGATATGCCCAGACTACTCCCGAAGTCAAACTGACTCCTGCAACTGGTTACGAGAGCTGCTTCCACCCGAATAGCCTAATGCGCTCACCTGGAACTTTTTTACAGAGCCCAGATTTCCCTTTAGAATAAGCTCAATAGGCGTCTGACAGGCACAGGCTCACATAGTAATCAGTCCGAAAATCAGTCCCTTCCCGCGAAACCACATTTCCGCTCTACATTAGTCATGTTTTATTTATTTTTTTGTTTTTTGGTCATGGTGAAAGGGCGTCGGCTCGATAACGACTTATTCCGAAAGGACGCTAAAAAGGTAAAAAAA